GGAAATAACTTAGGTGACCATGTTGTCTGAAATAGCTTAAAAGTTCAAACAAAAATTTAGTTTTAGGAAAGTAAACTGAAGGTTTAAAAAATTGGAGAACAATTTGTATTACTTTTTAATGGATTTAAGTTTATTTTTAACAAGCCTTGGCAAACACTATTTTTCTCTCCATCTCACTTTCTTTATATTTTTTTTTTTTTTTTGAGAGCAGCCATGGCTGAAATGTCTGTTATATCAAAACAACAATCAACAAATTAAGAAATCTATGATTCCCCATCTCCATTAAGTCAGAAACATTTTCAGGTAACACATTTAAGTTCCCAGACAAATAGCAGATATGTATTAAAGGTTAAAAAGCAAAAAGAAAAAAATAGAAACAGTATGATGAAAGAATAGATTCATTCTTCCTATTATCACCCAAATAAAATGTAACTTTGCTGTTAAGTTCAACTTAATTATAAATAGAAGTAAATTAAATCTATTTAAAGAAACTAAATTGTACTTAAAAAAAAAAATATAAAAGAACAAGATTTTTCAAAAGAATTCTTTTCTTGAATTTTCTAATTTCAGAACCAAATTCCAGGAAAGCACTTGATCCATTACAAAATTTTATTGTATTTCTATTTATATTCAGTAGATATTTTGTGTCCATGAGAACAACAAAAAAATACAAAAAAATAATCAAACAAGATCATGCATCATATCAGACCCTGTCAGAAATCAGAGGAAATTGAAAAGTGGAAAAAAATGTGGAGAAATTCAAAATTTAATTAGCCTAAATATATTATAAAATGGTAATGCTAATGGTGAAATTAGCTGCTTCCATACAGGATTTCAGCATTCATTGACAGAGCACTTAGCATTACTGTTGAGTGAAATTTATAAAATCTTCTTAAAACACTTTTTCAGGAAAATAGGTTTTTCATGTCCGCTGTTATTTGCTCTTTCAAGTATTAATGAGAGTTTCTTTCCTAACCTTCTGTTTAAGATAGAGTTAAAGTTCTTGTCAGTGGCAATAGTCTTCACTTAAAAGAAATCATATTGCCACAAAGTGAGAAATCTGCCTTTAGCCAAATGGAACCGGACTTTTATTTCATAGGATATCATTCATTGGTCAATTTGGAAAATTTGATTTCATTAGGATATCATTCATTGGTCAGTCTGGAAAATTTGATTTCATTAGGATATCATTCATTGGTCAGTCTGGAAAATTTGATTTCATTAGCATATCATTCATTGGTCAATTTGGAAAATTTGATTTCATTAAGATATCATTCGTTGGTCAATTGGGAAAAATTAATTTCATTGAGAAAGTTATTAATCGGACATTATTTCTTATTTCTATAAATGTTATATTTAGAGGATGTTTTAGTTGACATTCCTGTTTTTACTTTTTTTTAATACAATGCATTTAACATCCATTGACTTGAGCAATTAAAAGTCTTAATGAGAATGTCTTAAAGGTAGTTATCAGAGTACTGTAGCAAAGACCCAGTTGGTCTATGGTTCATCTGAAGGAGGAAACAGAAGTACAAATTCATAGAGATGATTGAATGAACAAGTCAGAAGTCAGGATTCAGCTACAAAAAGGGTTTGCAGAGTCCATCTCTGAAATGAACCATAAACAAAGCAAACTAGAATCTGTAAGACATCAAATGATGAAAAGTGTTAACAAGAAATTATTACCTGAGTTTTATGGTACAATGTATACACTCCTCCACTCACACACAATAAAGTTACACTGATTAATTGGCTGATAATTGGTAACTGGCCTTACTAGCCATTTGCTGATTAATTGCAATGGCGTTTTTGTGTTAATTAGTTTTCATACGTAATAATTTGTCTATGATATCACAGATATTTTTATCCTTAGCTTAAGAATCATCAATTACCTGAGACAGAGAATGAATATTCATAGAGATTTTCATGACCATTTCTTACCTGACATACCCTGCCTCATGTAGCACAAGCTTTGTGATATCAATATATTGGCTTGGGAGGTTTATCAAAAGCCTTGACTCTATGAAAGCTAGTGGTCTGAAAAAAAAACTGGCAAAACTGTTTAACCAGTACTTTAAGAAGAGAAGTTTCCCAAGCCTATACAACATGCCTGGTGTGTGCCCTGTGTACAAGAACATATATGAGCCCTTGTCTGTGTCACAATATCAGCCTCCTTAATACCATGATGATTTGGTTTACTTTGTTTTGTAGCATATCAACCTCAATGGGTTATTTAATGACAACAAGATTTTTAAGATAGATTTGTAGGAATAGAATATGTATTCTTTGTAAGAAATCAGTTTATAGATCAGGTTTCATCAATGTATTTTTGTAAAGAGGGTTTTTGACAAGAGTCAAATGTATTGTTGGTAATATCTTTTTCAAAAATATGTTGTGGTAATATTTTTTTTTCCCAAAATGTATTGCTGGTAATATTTTTACTATAAAAATGTATTTTCATACTTTCATAATGTTTTGACCCCAGTTTGGGGGTTAACTATTTGCTCATAATTGGGATCCTAACAGGTGCTACCATCTTAGGTCAGGGGGAACCTGAAAATAATAGCAACTAAGAGGTGGTTCCACGCTCATCAAAACCTCCAGATTAGAGGCTTTGCTGCCAGACATAGTTTATCATTATACCCAGAATGACTTAGTACCATAAGCAAACTTTTTGAAGCTATCATCAACAAGAGAGTTGGTGAACACCTCAACAAAAACAAACTCCTGAACGACAAAAAGATTTCACTCTTCTAGATTCACTTCTGATGTCACAATTATTATCATGCATAAAAACAGTGATGATAAAAATATCTTAAAAGTGATCACCCTAAATATTTCAAAGGCCTTTGACAAGGTGTGGCACAGGAGATTGTTACAGAAACTGGTCATCTCATTTATCAAGTCCTTCCTGTCTGGTGGGTCTATGAATGTCATTAATTGCCAGTCCTCTGAGGCACGAGATCAATACTTTCTCCTCAGCCCTACCCTCTTTCTACTTTATATTAATGATCTGCCTACAAACATTCTCAGATCCTTAGTAAATATATATATATACAGTTGACACCACAGTCTGTGGGCACACTTTCAAATATCTGGATGACCAGAACCTGGCAAGTGATCTCTTCTTTGGTCTAACTCTCATGGCTCAATGGGGGAAAAACTGGCTGTTATCATTCAATACCTTTAAAACAAAGTAACATTTCCTCACTATTGAGGAAACCTTATTCTCACAACAATCCTGATGAATGCTCACTTTTCCATGAATACCTACTGGATCTAAAGCTCACTTTCAAGATCAACTGGGATGTGTGTATATTTGTACAATCACAAAAGATGCTGTAAGAATGGTCGGTTCCTTGTATTGCTCCAGAAAATACCTAACTACTGTTACTATGCCCTATCTTTATAAGAGTTAGATCAGACCAAGAATGGAGTATTGATCTCATGGCAGATATTCAGAAGAGTTACATTCCTTAGTTCTACTAGCACAGACTTTCACAGATAGGACTCAACATGCCATGTTCACAGTGGCAAATCATCCCTATTTCTTTTGTAATCCTTTGATAAGGAGTAAGTTATACACTGATTCTTCCCCAGAACTGTTACTTTATAGAACAAACTCCCAAGAGGATGCTTCCCTGACAACTACAATCTTGGTCTCCTTAGGTCCAGGTTCAACCAATATATATCTTAGATATCCTCATAATGTGCAATTTTTACACCCTCCTTACCACTCCCTTAGAAACAATCTCACTCAGCAACCATCTATTGTGAGTTGCCTTTGGACCATGTTTTGGATGAACAGTAAGAAAAAAATTTTTTTTTTTTAAATCAGTGAAGCATGAAACTGACAGTCACCATGCAGTCATCATCCCAATATCCACAATGAAAATATTTATCATTATATATAAATAAAGACAAAAGGAAAATATTTCTTTACCAAAATGTTTTATTCTTTGATGGAATTTATCAAGGCAAATGTAAGGATTTTATTTTACATGTATTTATAAACAGATGTAAAAAATATTGTTATGTTTTCAAAATATTTAAATGTAAGAATGATCCAAAATATTAATACAGCTAACTGTGAAATTCTAAATAAACTACGAAGGATGCTAAGTGATATAATTTCATATGTAATAAAAATTATTGTTGATTTTTTTTCATATTGGTTTTTATACATTTCAGTTGAATCCATTACATTCACTTACATGCTAATACACTTGGGAAAAGTATTAATACTCTTCTTATCCCTCCAGCTATGGGTAAACAGCAGGACAGACTGGGTTCTATAGCCTTGGTTGGCAACTGGTCTAGGAGAATGACAATTCTAAATTCAAAACTTGCAGGGGGTCGTTTGGGGATCTTGTAGCATGTAGTGCACCAGGTTTCTCTATTTGGCCTTTCAAAAAGTGTGAATGGTTCTGCACAAAACCTTCATCGCTATAATCAAATCATATGTGCTGGTGTCTGGGCTGTTAGTTCCTAGGAACTGATCTGCTTGACCTTTACACGTCAAATATGATAATTGAGTAGACAGAACTATTTAGGACTGATCCACAGTTGTGCTAGCACAAAGGCACAAGTCATCGTGAATGAGGGCTTGAGTGTATCTGTCTTGTTCAGACTGATCATGTCAGATAATGTGTTCTCTCCCAGAAACTGTAACTAAGTTTTAGCATAGTTATAGTATAAACCACAGGTGGGCTCTGTGGGTGTTGAACAACACAAATATGGTGCCTGAGCGGGCATCTTATTCATTTTCTAGGGTTTATCAACTCTTTGTGGGTTATTTAAAGCCAGAAAATATTTTTACATTGTAGGAATTTGTGGGGGGGGGAGGTAATAATTTTAGTCATTTAGTAGATTTAGTGAATTCACACCTTTCCCAGGGTATTTGTGTGTAAGTGAATATAATGAACACAACTGAACTTGTACCTCAGCTATCAGATTAACAATTCTGAGCCATTATCCATTACACAAACCAAACATCCAAGCTTACAGCACTTTGTATTCTCAAGCGCTTACCCATCTAGGTATTGACCAGGCTCGACATTGCTTAACTTTGGTGATTGTACAGGAACCGGTGTTTGAACATGATGTGGCCATAAGCCATAAATCAAATAGTGTACACCAAAATTCAATTTGTATAGTAACTGAAAGTTGTGAATTAGTTTGTGATAAAATAAATTTTCTGTTGTATTCCATTTCCTTTCCTATTTAAAGATAATGACATATAATGATAATGACATATAATGATAATGATATATAATATTTCCTATTTAAAGTTAATATAATGACATATAATGATATTTCCTAGTTAAAGTTAATTCAAAATTAGTTTGTAATAAAAAAATTTCTCTGTTGTACTCCATTTCCTCCCCAAAATAGTGTCTCCAGTATGCATGCATCAACATTAACAACAGACAAACCATGCCAAGATTTTAAAACTCTGCCAAAATGTCTATAAGTTATAAAATAAAATAAAATAAAAATTCAATAAAATTTTCAGAATATATTTATTTCTGTTGTATGAAAAATGTATGGAAATATTTTTATTATATCAATCAACTACTGTTTTATTTATTTTGGCAGTAGTTCCAAAACATGCATAAATAACTCTCTCATTTTTGATAGGTAATATGCTAGTAAACAAAAACATTTGTAACATAAATGTATATAGTTATCACCTTTTATAGATTGTATATGGATGAGATTAATTTCAGTATGTATAAAACAGTGCAAAACTCCCAATGGATTTTGAAATTCCTTAACAATAATTTTAATGATTGTATTATCAACTCCAATAAGCAGCAGATCCATCTAGTTATCTATGTAAGTTATTCAACCCTTAGCCATTTCAATAATTTCCAGTAGCATCTGTACTTGAATTCTAGCCACTCACCATATCTCCATAACACTCTAATCAATAAAATTGAAGTTTATACTGATTGTATGTAAGGGTTTCTTTACATTACATGTAAATATGAGTTGAATTAGTTTGATTGTACAGAAGTCACAAGCAGAAAGTAGTAAATCATGTGCATAGATGCAGAGATTTAACTGAACAAAAACCTCTACTCCGGTGGAAAAAACATAGGAAGGGATCAAAAATTTTTTAATCATTTCTCTAGAAATACCATAAGCTTCCAACTTGTGAAGAAGACCAGTATGCCAAGCCTTGTCAAATATAGCCAAAACAACAGTCTAAGCGTCACCATTCTCATCTAAAGCATGATGGATTTTTTTCAGCAATAACCATTAACACATCAACAGTTGAATTAGAGAAGCGAAAGCCATATTGCTTATCTGAAAGAAAACCCTGTGAGATGAGATGCTTAGCAAATTTAGAGTTGGTTAGAGACTAAAGTACTTTGCCAAAAAGAGGTAGAAGGCTAACAGACTGATAGAAGGATCAGATGGTTTGTCTGAGTTTTTAAAGACTGGAACTAAAGAAGAGGATTTCCAATAAGCAAGAAAGTAAAAAGTGGCATTTATTTAGAGTTTAGAGAGAACATGAACCAGTTCAGGAGCACATCTCTTAAGGGAGCAGGGATACCATTAAGTTCACATGCTTTCTGAGGATCCAGTTTAGAAATGATAGCAGAAACTATGGAGTGAAAGATATTCAATAATGCTTAGATATTTACTTTTATGTGTTGTGTCCCTTCAGGTCATAGACGATTATGGCTCTCCACAACTTCCTAATCTTTGTCACTCTTAGCAATGTTTGTCTTTTTATGCTCCTTCAAATTCCCTCTTTTGCTATCCATTTATATAAGCTTTTTGGGTAGGTTGTTCAATGTTTTCCTTGGACCCATCAATATGCCCTGTGAGTGCCAAATTCTCTTAGACTTCTTTCTTATTGTGCCTCAGAAATTTCAACTCTGTCTTTCTGATTATAAGTACAAGTGTCATTTTTCTTTCCATTTTCCTTTAACTTCCTCATTACTTACATACTTTGTCCATGGCATTCTCAGCTTTATTCTTCAGAACTAATTCTCTGTTGTCTCAAGTTTCCTCATCAACTATGAGGAGATTATTCAATATTTACTACCATACAAGTGTAACAATATTAAATACAAGTTCAGATCATTTTTCTTTGTTTCTAATGAAATTTTCCTGTTTCTTAGTACATTTTTTTAGTTTTTGGAAGGCATCTTTCACTAATTTAATGAATGTGCATTTGGATTTCTGAGTCACATTTTCTGTTGTTTTTTTTATTACAATGATGTTCACACTGTACAAGGCCAAGAGCCACTCAAGGTAGAGGTTTGCAGAGTAAGAGGTAGCATTTATGGGGATATATAGCAACTGACCTTAGTTTTGAACAGGTTAAGATTGTAGTGACTAGGGAAGCATCCTCTTGGGGGTCATTTTCACAAAGCAGCAGTTCATTGGAAGAAGATGCTTGAGCGAAACATATCTCACCAATGGAATACAAAGGGAATGAGCATGATTCACTATAATGAGCATGTTCATAGCCAAGAAGGTTAGAACTGGTAGGGCTAAGGAATAAAATGCTTCCCAATAAGAAAAAAATGCTAAAACTGGAAATGTTAATTGAACTACAACTGGTTTCACAAACCAATGTATCTACTTGTGCACATGTAATAGCTATAAAAATAATGCAATAATTTTAGCTTCTAATTAAAGTGAGATCAAAAAGCTCAAAGTCTTTTTGACATGCCTGATTTTATAGCAACCATATTTTCTTTAGCAAATTCTCTGTTTTGAGATGGAGATCAATTTTGATGTCAGTGCTAAATTTATCATTCTGTGAAATTTCTGATGAGTATCTCTATTGCTCTTCATACAATTTCAGCCAGAGATCAACTTAAAATTAAAAAAATGAAAGCTAAAAAATTATAAGAATATCAATCAAAATACTTCATGGAATAATAAATTTAGCATTAATAAAGATGAATTTTTATTGATAGAATTGTAGAAAATCAGTGTTATCTGAATTTTTCGAAGTAGTGTCTCATGTACGATAATCAACAGTGGATAGAAAATTTCTAAATGGCACTTAACAAATGAAGTTAAAAGAAATTCTTTCTGTTTGTGTTTCTTTTAATTTTATTTTGGTAAATTATTTTCATGAAACAAAAAAACATTTGATTTTTTTTCATTCTCAAAAAAGTCATAAGATAAATGTGAATCTTTAAAACATAATATTTGTAGTTGGCACTTAACATATTTATATAGTTGAAGGAAATGCTTCCATTACTTTTTTAAATTTTATTTTTTAAATAATTTTTCAAAATTATTTTCATGAAACAAAAATATTTGATTTTGTTTTAATCAGAAGAAAGTTATAATAAAATGAATATAAAAGAGTCTTTAAAAGATTTAAACATTTAAACTACACTATGTATCCTATCAGTGAAAGAGACAGCCCAAGATGTGAGCTATGTATTTGGGACATCAAAATCAAGCAAGTAAAGAAATTTAACTGTTAAGTATATTAACATGCAATGGTAAATGTGACATTGAAATCTGAAGGCATAGTAAAAGAGGACTTCCAGAAATTAAGCCAAGTATTAAGCAACAGAAAAATTTCCTTAGAAGCAAAAAGAATACTGGGCTACTATGTAATATCTAATCTAGATAGCAATGAATGCTAGACAATCTTCTCAGGGATAATGAAGTGACTTGAAATGACAGAGATGTAGTTCTACCAAAAAATACTGGGAATACTGTAACAAAGTAAAAATGTCACATCATAGGAAGATTTTTGATAGGGCAATATCATTAAGATACTAGAAAAATAAAGCATTTTTCAGTCTAATTTGTGACTTAGTGGGATTTGCATTTATATTCAGCCCAATAATAATGAACCAATTTTTGTACGTTTGTGTATTTGTTAGAAAAGCTTAAAAGAAAATTCTACCAACACTGAAAAATGAAAAGAATGAAAAGATCACTAATTGCTACATAATGATATCCGTGAAAAAATAATAATGCAATATGCATACATAATAAATTAATGAAACAAGAAAAAAACAGAAGATGAAAAATCGATAGTAATAATGAGGTTATCTTCTCATTTTGTGAAGGGCAGTCACATGATTAACACAAGATACATGGTGATAAAATTGAAAGGGATGGCATAAAGTCAACTCTTTCCTTTTTTTTTTCCCCTGCTCTGGACACTGGATACAGAAACACTGAAATCAAGGAAAGAAATAATCTCCTTCAGCAATATACTTCTAAATTATCATTTCCATTTAGTCCACAGGTTGTCAAACTTTTTTGACCAGAGAACACCTTTTGTTTCTCTTCCTTCTCAGTAAACCTCCATTTAAAATATTTTTGATCCTTAAAACTCACACTGATGTTGGCAATTAAAATGTTAACTAAAATGAAAAAAAAAATGAAAAGTTAAGAAATTTGGATCAGGTTCACTGTCATCAGGTTCAGAACCCACGCGCAAATATATTTAAGAAAATATATTAAATAACCACAATGAATTAAGCAAATAATATATTAAATACACCAAGCCTAAATACAGCCAATACTATTGAGCAGAAATGCACAGTCATTACTAATATCTAATTAATAAGGTATTGTATGCAAAGAAGATGGTTAAAACCAGGAGGGAATTGTCTCAAATGCAAAGAAACTCTGAAATTAGTGACCTATAAAAGGGTCAAAAATGGATATGCTTGGAGATGTATGAAAATAGCATGTGCTTCATACAGAAAGTATAGCAATATCAGAACAATGTCTTTTTTGATGGATTTGACACTTCTTTAAAATATATTATTAGAGTAGTAGTTAAGTATACTACCAAGCAGTCAATATACAGCATAAAAAATGACTTGGATACAAAAGATCATACCTAGTTAATAAATTAAACCATCTCAAGAAGAAAATATCAAAGACTGATTTTAACAGAGATAAACTGGATGTGCCTGGTATTGTCGTGCAAGTTGTTCCCACACCAATATTTGACCCCTTGACTATCATCGACACCCTGGAACTCCTCACCGACACTAGATTTATTCTAATGCCTTCATCTTCATTGTTATTATCACAACATTTCAGCCATTGGACTCTCTAGCCTTCATCAGGTGTGTTTCTATCTGGGTAACCTTCAGGTTAGAT